CGTTTTTATTATTATTACAGGCTGCAAAAACCACAATACATTAGTCATTCCGGAGGAAATTTGGGTGGAGATGCTACGAAATACCATACATCCTTTCACTCGTTCTCTCATCAACATATCCATCAACAATAAATATTTCACAAAAACCGGATAGCAAAGACCAGTTTATAACTAAATGTTATGCATCTGATGCTATTAAGTTAAAATCATTCAACAACGACTACCCTTATCATATTACAATAACAGATTGCAATGCCTATCTTATGTAATCACTGCGATTTAATAAGATAGTTTATAAAATTCTATGAAAAAAAGTTAACAGTGAAATTTATATCAAGGTTTCATTTTCTTTTCCCATATATTATTATATCCTTAATGATCACATATATGCATAGATGTAAATTTTCGCATAAATGTTTACTTTTAGATAAATAAATCAAAATATGCCAGAGAAGGAAATTATTATCTATCCATCAAAAGATGACCTATTTCAATATTAAATCAAAAATCGCTATTGCCATTGAAAATGAACATAATCACACAATTTTAAGCAATAATTTTAGTGAACAGACAGATTTAATGGGAAAAACTTTTATGAAACTTTTCGTAGATTGTTCAACAATGAATATATTTGCGAATTAAATTATTTCTTAATAAATTCTCATAATTTTTAGAATTAATAATAATTTGCGTTTGAAAAATTTTTTCTTTCATTCCACTCATTTTGCTAATTAGCTATTGCTAATTAGTACGAACATTTTTATACATAAATTCTAAACAGTGGTGCATTATTAAATGAAAGTGTTCGTTAGTAACTTTTAGCATGTTTAACTGAAATGATGCTAACTTGAATTTTGAAATTTTGTTAACCTGATGGTGAAGATGTGATTGTTGCTGTCTGTTGTGAAATTATGGGCGTTGAAATATTTTGACCAACTTGCTTCGGCAAAATATCAACACGAATTGGACATCCTGAAAAATAAATAAATATATTTGTTGTTGGAATCATCATCTAAAAATAGCATTGTTGATACCGTACAAATATTTGCTTTTCTGAACTTTTTTTTTTTTTGAAAGAAACATAAAAAAGGATGTAAGTCAAAAAATTTTTAACTTTCTATTGATATTTGTTATGATTCAGTTTAATTCTAAATTTTTAATATAATATCACTTTGGATGTACTATTTTATCACTAAAATGAGAGATCAATTTGATCGTAATTTTATCAGTAAATAATTTTCACGATAAAGTGTTCTCCAAAATTTGGATTTTAGCATTAAATGACTTTCAAATGCTTTATTATCATCCATGGAGCACTTTAAATGGTAAAATATTCAGCACTTCTAATGACCTAAAAGATTTACCGATAGCGCTGATTGTCGAAAATTTAATGGTAGAATAGAAGAATGAAGAAATAATTTCCTATTTCTAAGTTCAAATAAATAAAACGAATAAACTGAGCAATCAATGAAATTGTAAAGTCATTTCGGCAAGTAAATTAATTTTCTGATCTTACAAAAAAGAAAAAACAAAAAAAGCAGAATTTCTTTTTTAAAAACATAATGGAAAAAATGAAAGATCATTTTATATTTATGAAAAAGGCGAAAAGGCGTATGACTAAACTCAATATTACTTATCTTTGAAAGAAAAAATCATGATTATTATAAAATGCAAATTTCAACTAAGCAATATCTATCAAACTTAATTAATTCAATAGAAATATTTCAATCACACAGTTTACATAATTTGCTTGAATCAATCAATAATTTAATTTAATTGAAACAAAATTAATGAGAAGTTTATTAGATATAGAAAGAAAAAAAGGAAGAAATGAATAAATAAGCGCATGAAAAAATTTTTGGATGAATAGGAATGAAATAACCAATTTAGAATAAATATTTATTTATCTTTAAAAAGAGTAATTTGTTATTTTTTTCCTTATATTGTTGCCGAATTAATGATGCATCAATTATAACAATAAGAAATATTGTGTTCGTAAAAATTTAATTAACTCTAAACTTCTGTTTATCCAATTTTCCATTTCATCCAAGACAATTTAATTCTTTCACTCAAATAATTCATCCATCAATCATTTCATTTATTCGTCCACACTGTTGATTAATTAACTAATATACTATTTATTAATTCAAATTAATTATAATTTTCCCATCTGTTAATCTCATTTCAATTCGTATATTTTTCTCTATTCTTTATGGTACATTTTCACCGCTGAACTTTTTAACTCTTTCATTGATAATTTTATTCATGAACATTTTATCCATAACCATTATCGTTTTTAAAATTCATTAAATTCGTATTACTTTCTTTTCTTACTGCTCCAACCACGAATTTTATATGTAAAGCAGAAAAAAATTGAATTAATATTTTTCAAAAATACCGTAAAATAATATAAAAATTAAATGAACCAAAAAAAAATTTATATTTTTCAAAAAATAAAAATATCAATCTTAAATGTAATAAAAAGTAAAAATTAATTACAAAAGAGAAAACATACCTTGAACTTGTTCACCATTAAAAGTTACATCAATAACATATTTGCCTGGATATTGCGGAATAAATGTAACCAAACAACGTCCAGCACCTTGCATTTGTACATTATTTGGTACTTTCCCCTGATTGATGCTAATTTCCAACTGTCCTTTTCCGGCATCAACCGCATCAACTGCAGGTACAACATACAACTGTGATATGTAACGTCGTTTTTCATTCATTTTTTTTCTTGTAAATTACTTCCAAAATTTAATTCCAATTATTTACAGATGGATAGTTAAAAAAAGAGAGAATATAGACATATTGATTATTTGTTAAAAAAGAAAAATTCAGAATATCATAAAAATTCAAGAGCCATATCGATTGTCGATATTGTTCTATGTATACAAGTGAAATAAATTCATCATAAGCAATTAATTCAGCATTCTATTAATGGTCCGAAATGACTAATGATGTATACAGTGAAAATATACAATGATATCAGAAGTGATAAGAAGGCTAATAGGAAGAGCTTTAACGATCGAAAAGTAAATTTCGTATGATTTTTTTTTTACAAAATGAATACATTAGCAATATTAGTTTTATTTTTGCTATTATTATTATTATTATTGCTACTGTTGCTGATCGTGCAGGTAATACATTAGGAAATTGACAGCTAATAGAATAATAATTAACGTTAAAATTAGTGATAATAATAATAATACTAGTAATAGCAACAGCAATGATATCAGTTAATCAGCAATGTTGTAATGTTGACGATAGCGCTAATGATCAGAAAATGTGATAAATGACAAGGATTGAGTACTGTTGTTTATGCAAAATATTCAACTATCAGAGTTGATAACGAAAAAGCTGAGTAACCCATTATCTATCAAAAATCAACCAATAGCACTCAGAAAATAGCTCTTCCACTTTGCTGGCACAATATCACAATGACTGTCACTTTCCTGTCATCATCAATTGAGGATGGCACAAAACGCATGGAAGAAAGAATGACAGCATAAAGAACAAAATGAGCCGCTCCGCCTCTAACATTTAAATCAGCTACTGCAAA